TGCGAAAGCAGACCTGCTTTGTTGTGGAGATATTTATGTTTATAATATTGATTTCAAACACTTCGATGAGTTTATGTGTACAATCTTAAAGCATTTGTATTGCTGTAGGATAAGATCGATGGCTTGTTAGTAGGAGAGTATCACCCGCATATTGAAAGAGGGCACAGTTTGATACCGTGGTAGACATATCATTCACATATATAGTGTAGTCCAAGTCACCAAGCTCGATCTAAAATGGACCGTAAAAATCCACGCCTGCACGTAGAAACCTAAACTTTTCGTCAAAGGTGTATTTAACAGGTCGGTTTTTTCTTGTAAAATTACAAAGCGTAGTTCTCTTTCTGTAAAAGAAAAAGGCAAAGAAACTTGCCAGGGTCTACGGCGGAGGGCGACCCAGACGATCAAGTCCACTAGAAGGGTGTGCTTGGCGTTTGTATTGATAGATGGCGATTGGAGCAGCGTCCGAAGGTGCAGTCGACCAGCGAAAGAAAGCAGACGACACGCAGACGATATCCGTTGGCAGCAAAAGAGCCGTCGTTATGCAGACACGTGTTTTTACTTTAAGTTTCGCTTTTATTGTCCGAATTTAGTTGTAGCACAAGGTACATTTTAAAGAGATTATGTTCATTTTAACAAACCACGGTGGTCGCGAAAAGTCGCGATAAGGAGGAAACGCCATCTATCAATACAAACGCCAAACACACCTCGCTACTGAACTTCTGTCGTCTGCGTCGCCGCCCCCCGTAGACCCTGGCAAGTTTCTTTGCCTTATTTTTGACAGAAAGAGAACTACGCTTTGTAATTTTACAAGAAAAAACCGACCGGTGAAATACTCCTTTGACGAAAAGTTTAGATTGCTACGTGCAGGCATCGATTTTTACGGTCCATTTTAGATCGAGCCTGGTGACTTGGACCACCCCATATATTAAATAGAGGAGGAGAAAGAACGGAACCTTGAGGAACACCGGCTTTTAAGAAAACTTTGGCGCTGTATACACCGTCGATCGAAGCCACTTGGAATCGATCTTGCAGAAACTTTCGTAAAAGACACAGTAACTGTTCCCGGAAACCAACAGAAGAAAGATTTTCTATCAAAATTGAATGGCTCACAGTGTCGAACGCCTTCGCAACGTCGAGGAAGCATCCACAGCTAAACAGGTTGTGTTCAAAACCTAAACTTAGGTTGTCAGAGAGTATTTCGAGCAGTGCTTGTGTACCCCGTCCTGGAATAAAACCGTATTGAAAAGATCTTATGTTATATTTATCATATTTGTGATAATTTATTTATTATAATTTATAATATAATATATATATAATAATTTACAATACTAATAAATAATAATAATAAAAATTATAATAATAGCTTGACGAGGCTCGGCCTCTCGGTATCACACACTTTGACAAAAAGCAGTGGAAGATAATTTAACAGAATGTATCGCTCATAATAAACATTCTAATGTTGACTAATAACAGTCAACATTAGAATACTGTTCGAACTGCGAAGTATCAAATATCAGGTTATTTAACTTATACTTCGGTTTTGTGGTAATCTCAAGGTTTAAATTTTCAAATTCATTAGGAAGGGATTGTAGTGCATACCTTAAGAAAGATAAGCCCTAACTGGAGCGTGAAGTGTTGACACACCAACTCTCACTATATCGAGTTACATAAGACGAAATTTTATTCTCCACACCTCACAACACGGAAAGGAAAAAGTTGTTATTTTGTTTTACAACTGTACTGTATTCACAGCTCAAGCGGTAGTTGTACAGATCATTGGTTAACATAATTTTGTATTTCTTAAAAAAATTCTCCAAAACATGCAAAGAACAAACTTTGCCAAAGAAACGAACTACTTCATTTTTGCTAGAAACAACTATGTGAAATTGTGTTTTGCCCTACCGCCGTTACGCCCTAACTCACTTGGCAGTAAACATGTTCATTATAAACCAAAAAATAGTATAAAAGCAACTTCGCTCGCTCATGGAACACGTGGCGAGATAATCCTAAAAGCTTTACAAATTTTTACGCAAATATACTTCACCTGTTCACTCCAGGAAAGAGTTTCAGTAAAATATGAATCATGAATTTTAGATTTTGCAATCTCTAAATTACATTAGGAAGAAGAAAACAAATTAAAACTTAGGGTGCCGCTTCGCCGTTTGCAAAACACGCTCGGTAAAGCACAGTGATCGGCCCACCACGTGATCTGAAAAAAAACAGACGAAAATGCATTTTCCAGGGAGAAGTTGTCATGCCTGTGCCTCGAGCGTGCTTGGCGTCTGGCATAATATATCCCGGAACCCATAATCCAGAAAACATCCAATCGCAAGCTATATCAAATATTTTCCAGTTGAGAATGACTCGCACTTTTGTTGTCTCCTCGTCCACTCCTTCACATTGTTCACTGTTTTCTTCCCCCAAAATAATAAATTCTAAAGCCCAACACGCGCAGGTTAAGTCCCGTGGCAGTTGTTTTTGGATGGATTTGGGGAAAAGAGTTAGCGTAAGCGTTTGCCGCGCAGACTTTACGGCTATTAACACGCAGTCATAAAGCAGTGTTTATGTAGCCAGGTTGTTATTAACTCTTTTGTTGGGTGTTCAAAATTTATGGCAGGATTTTGTTTCCATTTTTATGAAAATAATGTTGCAGAAAATAAGTCATACCCTTTATTTCGTCCTCGTTAAAATAGCGAACGACACGTCCAACAAATACCCATCGAAGTTCATAACAAAGGTCTGATGACATCATGGTTTTGAGAGAGGTCAAATGACAAGTTGAACATTATTTATTATTAAGGAGAACTTGCAATTCGCGATGGCAACGGACCTGGATGAATCGATATGTTCGGTTAACTTTTATTTTGGTGTACCCACAAATGGAACTAAGCCTAAAAATTCGTACACTATCCAAGAAGAAAAGTTAAACATGTGCGAGGCGAAAAGGCAAAGCAATAGTTATGCTCACGTTTAGCTGGAATTTTTGTGAAAAAGTGATCATATCGTAAAAGTGCATCTACAAATTGGTGAAGCTTATTTTATTTCAGTTGTATCCTTATAATTGGTAACGAATAGCCCCGAATCCCGAAAGTGACTGCACCGCCAAAGGCATGCAAGCAAACAGTGTCTAAAAGCAGTGGTGAATCAACAACTACGTTGACAGCCTTACGCAAAAAAACGCCAAGAAATCGCGTAAACGTCGTGTTATACATGGAGAGCATACTACCAGTTTTTGAGTAACCAGTAATTCTTGCAGCAGCCTTTGCCCGCAAAGAATATTTCCCCGATAATTAATATGAACTGTCCTTCAACACGTTTAATAGAAGATGACTCATTACCATAAATAAAATTAAAAAAACGAATTCAAGTTTTTTTTTGGGTCCAAACAATAGAAGAACCGCATAAAACATGCAAGCGAAAAAAAAGCTGCTTGTGAAAGCAGATATTGCATCAAGTGTCATAACTAAGGCAGGCATTACAAACATTTGATGCACAATGATTAAGGTTCAACTCTGACTCAGAAAAAAATTTAAGATCACATATAAAACACATTAGGGCAATTGCAATGCTATCTAATTTTTAAGTGAACCCGAATTGGTCAGGTATCCTGCTAAGAGCCAACGTCTTCGTTCTCCATTCATTCAGAAGAAAAAGCAGGTATGCGAACGCAGAGAGAGAAGGCCAGAGTTAGAAGACGATGAACTGGGATCAGATAAGACAGAATGAACACTAACAATAGTTTCAACTAAAGAGTACTACATATAACCTTGCAAAAGGCATTAGACATATGAGAGTTCATTACACCAACTTGTTCAAGGTCACACACTAGTGGCACGATGCATATTAAGAAATTAACACAAAGTTATTTATACTGATTGCCCTTTGAAAAATTGGGATAGCTCACAACACACTTTCTCTACTGAAGTGTAAAGACGCCTGTGGAATATAATTAAAAAGACTGGGTAAAATCTGCACAGTAATTAAAGGAGGGGTTGCTACTTACAATGCAAGGGTCACCCGACCCGTGAATTGAAACAACTATCGAGCGTTTTCATCTAGACGTAAATATTTCTGATTGTAATGATACGTTAAATATAATATATATTTATATTAAGACAGAAGACAGTAGGTCGGCGCATACTTTTGCAAAGAAAGTGGGAATTAAATGTATACCAGCAGAAAGCTTCGGTAACATGGCGCTCAAACGTTTGTTCGAAAATAAACGAATGAAAAACACGGCCTGTTAAATATACAGGGCATATGAATATTGTGGTGATCTGCTAAATACGAAGTAATTTTTGAAGTGAAATTGAATGCTATAATTGACTCCGATCAATAAAACAACCTTGAATACTCACTTTGTGTGTACTTCCTCTGCAAAATGTGCAAATTCGAGGAAAACGTGCGCGACTCGGACAACCCGATTTGCTGTGCAGATGCTGACCTCAGTCCGCCTTTTCATCGCCCTCTAAGGGACAGCTATCTTCGGGTATTGTGGTCACTCATACCGATCCTCGATCTATTAAAGTTGCAGTACGCGTCATGCATTTTAACTTCATAATTTTTAAAATATCGGACGAAAGGCTGCTCTGTGCTCCACATTGTTTGTGGTGAGGTCGTACATTGTGAGTCTGAACGTGTCTTTACCGTAAAAACTGTGGGAGCCGAGGGTAAAGGACGAGGCAGGGGGCACGTGACAGGCGGTCGGCCGAGAAGACACGAGAGCCCGGGCCATATGACCTGGGCTATGACGATCCCGGGGTGGTTCCGCAGCGAGACTCGGGCACTGATAGCGCGGGACAGCCAGCCTACGCAGCGCTGGCGTGGGAAAGGCGATCCGCAGGCCTGGACACGGACCCCGACTGTGAGCTCTGATCGACGGGCGACAACAAGGGTCGGTGTGCCCGGACTACCGGCTCTCGACGACGGGACCGAGAGGAACGCTAAACCCATTTACTGTCTTCTCGTTGCTGTATAAAACTCCCTGGGTGACGGGCGGAGCGCATACCGATCGGGCGGTGATTACTATTAGAGGGACCTCCGTAAAGATACCCACGAAACCTAAGGTCAGATTCGAACAAACGAGCTTAAGCTACGAGAACTAGGCTAAGGAGTTCATGAAGTGTGCACATCGTAACCTCCGCACACCTCAAGATCACTTCGTTTCGTGCATGAGCATTTGTTTTTAGATTTCGTTGTACGTGCATTTTAGTTCGCAAGATCGTTTCGTGAATCTGGCCTCTGGCTTTGACGAGCGTTTACAGGGAAAAATAAAAACAACAAGGGAATACCCAAACTTTCACTGGTCACCGACAGGGGCCTGCGAATGCAGTATATTCAGGGGAGGGTTCCCTCTTCCTCTTACGTGAAAAGAAGAGTAAATCTTAAACGGAGCAGAAAAAATTGGCAAGAGCTCATGCAGCAGAGAATCTCGGCGATAAACACACAGGTGCATCCGGCAAGCAAAAGGAGCCAGAACTTGAGCAGGTCTTTGAGGTCGGAGAAGGAAAGAGTTTCGTCGCTGACCGCTTGGCCACAGCCTTCCCAGTTGCCCGAAGCTTCCGCCCACCACTTGGCAATGAGACCGCCTTCACGAAGCCACACGATCCTTAGGAGCAAAAATAGAAAGGAGCGCATGAAATGACACGAGGCAAAAACTCTCTACAACACGAAAAGTGACAGAGACCGTTGGTTATTACCCGCTCGTATAGTAACATTCATGATACATGTTGTGCAATACATTAAAGCAAAGATACGAGGTTTTTTTATCTCTACAGCGACACAAGTCGAGACAGTGCGAGATTGCACTGACGCGCATGCGATGCAGGATCACAGACATCAAATTTCTACTCACACAGACTTTGCTTTTTGTCTACATCCCTTTGCCTGTGCTGCAAAGCTTATGAAACCACTGAGGAATACATTTTATCTTGCCGCCGACTTATGCGCCACCGCCGCCGTAATTTGGTGCAACAATTATCAGTGCTGGACATTCCTCTCACTACGGACAACATACTACAACAATACGAATTCAGATAACTTCTCTGTTGACCTCCACCGCCTCGACGGTCCGGCAGTTTTTAACTGTGACGCGATAATAATGCGAATTGGAGTGAAGACACGATTAATGTCGCAGACGTTACTTCTTTGTTCACTAACTACACTTCCACTCACACCCCGACATCCTAAAGGTAAAGCAGGAAAAGTTCTTTGGTGTGGCTATCGCAGCAGGAGACCTCCTCCAAACTCAATAAGAAGCCGGTTCTTTTAATTTTAATATAAAATCAAATTGGGATTCCGGCTTAACGTTAAGGTAACATAGATAAGGTGTCTTTATTTTTAACCTTGACAAGCGTCGCCCCGTCGAGTTAGAAACTTCGTCTTGATGTGGAGTTTTGTGCAGTTGAAAGCAACTATAAATGAACACGTGGCTAGGATTTAAAGCCAGAAGGTGCGAAGGGGTCAATTGCCACAAAATATTAAGAAAAAAAAAATTAGTAAGCACGCTACTTGCAAAGCAAGTCTACTCATTCCGTGTTTTTCTATCCTCTCCCATTAGAAATATGATATTTGTAGCACGTTATACTGTAGCTAAGATACGAATGAGTGGAAGATAGACTATTTTTAGCAGTTTGTTTACGATGTTTAGATAAGACACCGACTGTGATTTTGTCTTTTTTTTTTTCTGCGCATTCCTGCCTCTGTAGAAGATGGTTTTTGGATTTTACTAGTTTGTTCTATCTTCACAGTGGGGCGCTCTTCGTGCTCCTATATGCGTGAGCTTGAGCCTGAGCTCGCTTGTTTCATTAAATCTAAACGTTAAAGTCAGTCACATCTGCCTCGTCACCGACAGGGTTCCCGGTGGCCCACGTACCCTGGACGCTACTCCTCTCTTATCATGATGTCCAGTCACCCTCCCGAACTGCCGGTCCTTCCTGAATATATTCTGCTGCCATGTAGCAGCCTGATCGTGGAATTTCTGAGCCACCAACATCGAAGCCTCTCCCTCAGAGAATAACTACACTCTCCATGTGTGACCAACTCTTGTCCGGGATGTTACGTAACGATCCTACATCTTACAAACATTCGGCGCCTTTGCTACGGTTACTTTCCCGCCAGAATTGGAAATTCAGAAGCATTAATAAAAAAAGGGGGCATTTCTCGCCAATAATGTGCGAAGTGAAAGCGATAACTGCAGCACGTTTGCGCAATGCGGGCAGAATGATTACATCACGTACCGCCCTGTGGGCAAAATGGTGCCGTCACATACCCGAGGGCGGCACGTGGTGACACCATTTTGCCCGAATTGTACGAACCTGCTACAGCTCACGCTATCACTGCTTCGCACATTGACAGAAAATCCTACGCCAACGCAGGAGAAGGCGCAAGTTTTCCAGACGTTGTTGAGTGGTGAAGGGAGGGCGATAAGCGGAGAGTAAAAAGCATGTTGAGCAAGGAGGCGGAGCTCCGCTCGGAAACGGGTGCAAGCCGGCGAGTTTTGACAGAACACATTTGCCATTTCGAATTGGGTTCGAGAATAGAGACGTTATAGTGAAATCAAACGGGGTGGAAGTATTTGAAACCCTCCGACATTGCGCGTAGCATCTGGATGCTGTCAAAGTAAGATTTCGTATAACACGTGTGATCTTCGAAAAGCCTTGTTTTAAAGTTATTGTTAACAGCCGACGCCGTTATTTGCGTGTCGTGGGGGCTCTCCTCTTTTCGCTGTTCGCAGGGCGCAGGAAATAGGAGAAACCCTACTTCTGGCTTCTCGCGCCATGAGAAGAAAAATAAAGGGGTTTCTCCATCTCCGCTGCGACGACAAACAACTAAAGCCGACACCGAGATCCCTGTAAAGTGTCACGGTAAAGCCGTTGCTCTCAAACAGGCTAAACTCAAAACATGTTGTATCACTGAAGCTCTGTTCTAAAGGCGCGATGCAAGAAGGTTCGCACTTTCAGTAAATACAGCTCATAATTATAGCCTAACATTCATTACCTTTAAAACAGGCATTCATTTGTTCCTTCACGCAATGACATTCACAAAAAAAAGACGAGAAGAACCGAGCAGCGTTTACCCCCTCAACTTGCAGCCAAAACAAGTGGCCACGTGATCTGGAGCCAATTACGACTCCAAAGTTTAGCAGAGCCACGCGCTGGGGTTGGTGACGCACAGTGCAAGGCTCTGGGTTCATGCGTTGTGCATGTTCGGCTATCCCCGTCATCGCAGCGACTGGTCACGAATCACGACCCGAATGCCTATCGCGCTGAGGATCGCTGTGTTGACAACGCAACACTACGATCCCCACAGCTTCGCCATCAAATACTGCTAGGAGAGACTGAAAGAATACATTCACTTTTACCCTTGAAATGACGCTGCCACAAAGAAGATTTTTTGGCACTGCCGTTGCGTGCAAGTATACTTGGATCCCACTAGTGTCAGTAATCTTGTGTAAAGGGAGGAACATTCCTACCCAACATCGTTCCACAGCCCCTTTCGCACCTTGATAAAGATCACATGGGTTTGTTCGCACGAGACGTTGTGCGAATGGATTTAATTATATAACCTACGTGCTCACATTTGTGCTACACACGACACGAGGCCTCTCATATTTATAGAAATGGATTATTTTTTTTTAATAACTGTAAAAGAAAAACAAGCATTAAGATAAGCATAAAATAAGTCATGATATCGACCGAGCATCTCGGCCTGATACAAGGGTCTCGGCTCTTATGTGCACGCTGTACTCTCTTTAAAGGTTCAAGTTATAAGCTGTAACTATTTTTAAAGATAGCGTATGAGTAACCTTCTCTTACAAGTTTCAGCTTTTTTAAGGCTAGAAATGATTTTGGAAATAAATTACTGCTCCGATAAGAATAAATGACAGGAATTACAATAAAGAAAACATCCTTCCACATAAGAGATTTTGAAAATAAATTACTGCTCCGATAAATATAAATTACAGAAGTTACAAAAAAAAAAGAAATTCTTCCACAGAAGTGTTTTTGAATTCAGTATCATGAATCCATAAACAATAACAATTCATTTAGTGGCATTAGGTATGTGAGATGTTTTTTGGCATCCAATCAGCGTAAATCACCTTCAGTCCAAAGCAACTAGCGTCCGTCGTTGCGCCTGATATCTAATCAGGAGACAGAAAACTAATTTGGGCTTTTAACACACATAAACGCAGTCACCGTCTCGTTTGAGACTATTACCGAAGCGGATGCTTCTCGCATCGGCTTTTAGCGTTCTTAGAACTTGGAAACAAAAAGCACGCAGTATACGAACGTCATAATGTGTTTTCATTATTACAGTAGGCAAGAACACGGGAGCACGAAACATTCGGGTAGTATCAAAGTACTCTCTCTAAGGACTGGGCGCGCAACTGCAACTGCAACAATGCAGAAGCGCTGCAATTCCGCACCGGGCCGCTGGAGCGTTCTGATGCTACCCGTTCCCATGTTTCCAGTAATTGCGATTATCATAGTGCAAGTTTACGACCGTAAACCTTACCTGTCGTTGATAGCTCGTTGCATTGGCTGTGGCATCCTCTTATTCAGGTAGAACACAGAGTTAAACGTAAACATGGGCTTTCTGCCAATATAGAACTCGCCGCTTGTGTAGTTAGCGCATGCACATTTGGCAGCAACGGCTAGGGAGGCTGGGCTGGAAATAAGCACAGCCTCGCCGCGCACCACCTGGCGCAGGGAGGCGGCAGACGTCATTATGGCCGGTGTACGCTCGCTCTTGAGCATCTGAATCATGCGCCAGACCTTCTGGTAGGACGGGTCCTTGGAGCCCTGTTCATGAAAAAAAAAAAAAAAAACTTAGAATAAAACACGGTCATAGGAATGTGTTTCTCGGTGGTCGTGTGCGTTTGATAGAACGCGTGAAAAATAGCCGAGTCTCGAAACAACCCCCCAAAATGAACATATTCGTTTAATGACACCCCTGGAGGTTCGAAACGCTACAAAGCAGATATAATTTCTTTTGATGGTTTGTCTTACTATCACGTGGCGTTACTTTATTAGGGAGCCGAACTACAGCCTTCAATCAAGTGTAAAAAAAAAAAAATTAGTAGTTGTACTGTGGTGTTTTTGCTATAATGCCTGTACTAAAACAAATAAAATAATTTGATAAGTTCGGGAAACACAGAATGGCAGATAACGTTGCCCTAAGCGCATTGGCTTCTCCAGGTACTAAGTCTGCTGGCAACACTTAAAAAAACGTTTTAAGCGAATTTGGGCAGTCATTCTCCAATTCAGAAAATGTATATAGATCCCTTCTTAAATCCTTGCGCGCCTACTCTTTCGCGTAGCATGCTTGGGTTGAACTGCACTGTGACTTGCGTGTTCCATCCAGCGAAAGAAAGTATGCAACAAGAGGCGTGAGTCGAAAATCAGTAGCGACCTTTTATCTGCAGGTCTTATAATGCGTAAACTGCAGCATTTAGAAGCGATCGTTACAATTATTCGGAAGACACAAAGCAGTCGTTGCTTAAGGGAAGCACCTATATTTTTTTCAACTTCGGGGAAACTGAACTGGTGTATCACGTGACCAAGGAAGCTGAAGGGGAAATGAGACAGGTGGAGAGGGAGGGGGAGAGATGGGGTGCGAGGGCACTGTTATAGGGTGAGAGGAGGAACAGGGAGGGGGAAGGGGGAACAGGGGGGGGGGGAATAGAGGATAAATATAAAATGTCGGTAATAAAATTTCCCCTTTAAATTTTATGGGAAACTGATATTGGTGTCAATTGGCCATGGGTGGGGGGAGAGAGAGGAACCAAGGGAGGGGAATAAGGGCACTGTGAGAGAATGTAGTGGGGACGTAGAGTGGGAGGGAGGCGGGAGGGTCGGGAAAGATAAGGAATTTGAGGTAGGTGGGGAGGGAGGGGAGAGATAGGGGGGAGTGAGAGGAAGGGAGGTAGATTCTAAGAGGGGGCAGGGCATTACAATCGAAGAAACTGGGAAAGTTCTAAGTAATAATAATAATAATAATAATAATAATATCTTTATTTCCATCAATTTTGATGGGGGAGCCCGAGGAAAAAAGCTGCGATATGCAGCTTGACTGGTCCTCGGTCCCCTTACAGTGGTCAGCGACAAGCATCAGGAAACAAAGATGAAAATCACGTCAACTAGCAGCTGCAGGTATTGTTAACAGAAAAACAAAACATATAACGCTTTATGAAAGGAATGCATTATGTACAAAAATATTCACGCAAGTCTTTGAAAGTCAAGTTTTCAAGAGAAACATTACTACTGCAAAAAGTATTTAACAAATTTGGAAGAGTAAATTGGAGCATCTGAGAGCCATAGTTCGTTCGCTGGGTGACCATCTTCCACTTCTCCGCATGACGAGTAGAATACACTGGTGAATTTTCCTCTAACAATGCAAGATTTTCTAGGAAACATGTGCCCTTTAATCTTTCACTCTTAAAACTGGTACAAAGTCGATATGAATACAATTTATGAATATCAATTATCCTATAGGTTCTAAATAATTCGGCAGTGTGAAAATCAAAAGGCACATTACCTATACCTCTGAGTATTTTCTTTTGTAGTATGAACAGTTTTTCAATATTAGTTAACGTTGATGTACCCCAAACGAGGTAGCAGTAGGCTAAGTGGGAGTAAAACAAGGAATTATAGATCAAGAGTTTCACATTTGTTGGCAATATGTAACGGTAGCGATTTACAATCCTTACCACGCGAGCTAGTTTTGGAATAATATAATTTATATGGCTATCCCAGGACATATTTTCACTAAAAAATACTCCGAGAGTTTTAAAACAATTGACTATTTCAATTAGAGACGAATTAAAACGGAGATGCTTAGACACCACCACATGTTTATTTTTTGGACGAAAAATAACAGCTTTTGTTTTGCTACTATTTACTATCAACGAGTTACTATCACCCCAAAATTTAATTCTAGACAGAGTTAAGTTAGCCATATCGATTAGGTCATCAGCGTTTTCGGAGGAAAAGAATGTGCTTGCATCATCAGCATACATTACAAATTTTGCCTCCTTATTGACGTTAATTATATCATTTATGTACAAATTAAAAAGGAATGGCCCTAATACACTACCCTGTGGAACGCCTGACGCAATAGGCTTAATAGTGGAGGAATTACCATTGATGGACACATATTGCTGTCGATGCCCTAGATAAGATTGCAGAAGTAATAGCGCCTGCCCACGGATACCGTAAACTTCAAGTTTTTGAAATAGGACCTTATGACTAATACAATCGAATGCCTTGGTAAAGTCTAAAAACACCCCGAGAACCAAGTTTTTCTTTTCAAAGTTTTTTAATATAAATTCTTTTTGACTAAGCAAGGCTGTTTCAGTTGAGCAATTATTTCTAAAACCAAACTGCGAGGAAGTAACAAGGTTATGTTTTTTTGAAAAGTCTACCAAACGGCGATGAATTATTTTTTCTAGCGCTTTAGAAAAAACGGGCAGTATAGAAATGGGCCTGTAATTCCCCAACTCATTCTTATCACCTTTTTTGTACAGTACGGTTACTTTCGCTACTTGCATCTTTCTTGGAAATACACCACACGCTAAGGAGAGATTAAAAATATGATTTAAAACGGGGGCAATTATATCGACAACATATTTAATTGGACGTATCTGCATACCATCAGCGTCACAGCTACTACTATTTTTTAAGTGCATAATCACGTTAATTATTTCTGAGGCAGTAGTTGGTTCTAAAAAAATTGAGCTACAGTTTCTATGGCACATGTATCTGCAAGCATCAGCACCATCGGTATGGACGGCTATATTTACAAAGTGCTCGTTAAACAGATTGGAAAGCTGTTCACCGGTTAATGTAACTCCGTTATGCACTAACGTTTCAATGGCAGTTGACGAAGGAGCACCTTTTACCAAAGAACCTATGTGTTTCCACATTACGTCAGTGCGTCCATTCGCGGAAGAAAAAAGAGAGGAGTAATAACTTTTTTTTTGCATTTCTTAGCTCTTTAGTTAAGCAGTTACGATAGGTTTTGAATGTTTTAAGTGCATCAGGGTCACGCGTTTTAAGAAAGCGTTTGTAAAGTATGTCTTTCTTACGAATTTTACGAACTAAATCGAAGGTTACCCATGGTTTACGGATCTTTTTTGATATATTCTTAATTTTATATGGGAAGTGATGCTTATATAGCTTAAGGATTTTCTCAAGAAATATTTCATAAGCACAATCGGCAGTATTTTCGAAAAGAATTGTATTCCAAATGGTAGATGCGACGTCCCGTCTAAAGGCCTCGAGGCTGTTTATATCTATATTTTGGAAAACTATTGGTTGATTCTCTACCGTCTTTCGAGACACATGAACTTTAACGCATAAAAATACTGGAAGATGGTCACTCAGGTTACAACTAAGTACTCCGCTCTTAATTTGATCTATATGAAAGTTCGTAATAAATAAGTCTAAAACAGTTGTGGAGTGTAAAGTGACTCGTGTGGGGTCTGTAATTGTATTTACACACCCATGCATACTAATAAGACTCTTCATTTCTCTCTGCGAGACACTATCCGAAAACATGTCTATATTAAAATCACCGCCACAAATAACGTTATATTGATTTTCATTTACATACTCCAAAAATATTTCAAAAAATTCAAAAAAAGCAGAAACATTACCATCTGGTGGGCGGTAGAAAACTGCAAAAATATTCCGATTGTTTCGTAGACATAATACCTCGACATCTTTCGTGATAAATGAATAGTCACTCAAAAGATTACAATCGATACAGTCTTTAACCAGAACAGCCAATCCTCCCCCACGTTTCGAAGTGCGATTTAAAACATACGTATCATATGACGGTAAGCGGAAAACATCTGAATTATCAGTATACCAGGTCTCAGTAAACATGACTATATCAAAGAGAGCACCGAACTGATCGAAGAGTAATTCAAGGTCAGTCGTTTTATTCACTGCTGACTGCGTATTCAAGCAGAAGCACTTTAAATGAGAATTGCATTCTAGATCAAGTTTGCGTTTTAGTTCATTCGGAAGTAATGGAGTTGCAGTTTCCATAAAAACAAAATAGAAACAAGTTAAAACAATTCGAAAAGAAAGACAGCACTACTTATTCTAGCCTCAGCAGATCGTCTTCACTTCTTACGACGATAGCACGTTCGCGATCTTGTTTTCGTACCAGAACGCTTCCGTTTCGATGCCAGACATACCGAAAACCAGTCCTTTTTGCCCACTCTTTTGCCGCCAGAAAGAGCGCTCTGTTTTGCTTTGTCATGTTTTCCATGATAAAAACTTTAGGCTCTGTCCCCAACAATTTTTTTCTGTTATTCAACCACTGCTCCCTCGTGGCTTGCCTGGTGAACCGGACAATTCAGAAAGGGGTGCTCTATTTCTGGGGGGCTAAGCTCGCCTTCGGCGGGAATCTCTCCGATGCGACATCACGAGGGAGGGGAGGAGCTTCTTTTGACTCCGCCCCGGCGAGCTTCCCACTCCTCCTCTTACATTTCCGACCCCCCCGGCGGCGGCGAGTTCCCCAGCGTAGCTCCAATTTGTCCCTATGCTCCGCTCCTGGGCTCAATCCTCACCCCTGCCCCTTTGGATCTTGATGATCATCGCACCGGCGTGCGGTCGTGTATCACTCACTACTGCGTGGTGCACGTCAAAGACCCCAGGCTAGCGGTTGTACTGCACTGGCTAAATCTCTCATCTACAGCTGGGAGACAAGTCGCACATTGAGGCAGACCAAATTTTAGGCTCTAAAAACATACACAAAACCCAACTTTTTTATTTAAATCGTAAATGACATAAGAATCGGTAACAGCACGGATTCTAATTATACAAATATTGCTTGGAAATGGGCTAGGTGGTTAGACATTGTGATGGTTTGCTGTGCTGCGTAGGTGCAAGAAAAACGCACTTGATAAAGATTTAAACTAAAGCAGAGAATAGGCGAAAAACAACATACAGGAATGACGCAGACTAACAACTGTGTAATTTCTTTCTCATCTTTCTCCCCCCACGTCGCCACACAGTCACAATATGTTTTTCAGAAAAGGGTGCACGTGGAGCGAAAGCTCGCGCTGCAGAACCCAGGGGCCTGGGTTCAATCCCCACCCCTGCCCGTGTCGATCTTAATGAGCATCGCACCGGCGTGCGGTCGTGTATCACTACTGCGTGGTGCACGTTAAAGACCCCAGGCTAGCGGTTGTACCGCACTGGCTAAATCGCTTATCCACAGGCAACAATGTCGCCATGTTCTGGCATGTTCTGCCGTATAAACAACTAACGACCGATTTTTTCGTCAAAATACGCTGTGGAGGGAGAAAGATGAGAAAGAAATTACACAGTTGTTAGTCTGCGCCATTCATGTAGATTGCTTTTCTTCTATTCTCTTTTAGTTTAAATCTTATCAAGTGCGTTTCTCTTGCATCTACGCAGCGCAGCAAACCATCACAATAATTGTAAAAGCCTGTAGGTAATGATATATTGCGTTCCTGGTTGCAGATTGCCGTAAAAACACATTTGTTTCTAGGATTCACTTCGTAGAATTTGTAGGTTTTACGACGGGGACGACGGTTTATTCACGGCTCCATCGCCTCAAGCCCAGTTAGCCACGCAGTTCATCGCACAGCCACCTTACCACGTATTTCGAGAGGCGATAGTGCTGTTGAAAATCAACGTTGTCTATGTCAAACACAGTGGCGTGGCTTAAGTACCTACACCGACGGCGAAACACGAACAAAAACGCTGCCATTTTGGACGCGCCTCCCTCATCTCGCGCCCAACTCGCCCAAACTCGCCTAGGTCGGAGCCGGCAAGCTTTTCCTATCCGCGGCGGCTTTTGCCACGTCAGAATGACGTCACAGCATCTCGCCGCGAGTTCCGAATATGCCACTCTCCGACCGCCTCAAACCCTCCGTTCTCACATCACGATCTAGGGAGTGACGGCGCGTGTCGTCATGCACGGCGCCGACCAATCGCGGCGAGCAGCGAGTTCGGAGGAGAACTCGCCTTGATCTCTCCGAGCCGAGCTTAGCCCCCCTGATGACTTCTCTGAAAATCACATTTTGTTGTTATGTTTATGACCTTCAAGACGCGCCTTAGCTGCTTCGATTGAAGTATACTTTAAGATAATTTGGAATATGCAACATAATGCGTGCCGAAATATTTTAGGAACAAACGGGACTCGTGTTTTGTAGACAGGATACCCGCCGTGCTCTAGTTCAACGGTAGGCCCTGCTCATGAGGCATTCAACAATAAGTTTGTAATATACCATGCCGTGATTCGGGGGACCTTACATGTAGTCCATAACAGACGAACTGGAATTTGATCAGGCATCCATACTTGATGATGAGTACGTGGGTCGTTGACCCACGTACTCATCAACATCGACTGGAGGACAGCAGCCTCTGTGGCTGATTTATAACCAAGAGGGAGTACGTTGCTCCCTCCAGTCAAAAGCGAGAAAAAAAAAAACAACACCTGTACCTTCTAACAGTAAAAACAAAATGAACGTCAAGAGAGAAACACAATATTCACAGGAGTGTCCATAAAACTGCTTCTAAACCCCTTTCCCTCGCCCCCTTCTGCACCAGTTCAAACCATTCTTGACGGCCTTTGGTCATGATGGTCAAGATTCCAGAAGCAGAATTAACAAGCGTTTAAATGACTCCACCTAGCGAAAAACGAGTTTTTAAGATTTTGAGTACAAAACATAGAGCCCATTTCGAAGGAGATGGAAAAAAAACGCTTTTGAACGAGTTTCGGGGCAAAAGATAGGCCACAGTAGGCACACAAGAAGCTTTGGAGAGGCATGATCTAGGTCACTGCAGCTGAATAAAGCCTGCAGGATCTAGTTTCTTTGGGCGAGGAATGTGCCTGTGCTCGCATGAAAACATGTTGACCCATTTTCATACTGGAAACCCTTGAACTAGCGATATCCTAAAATGGTTCATTGTGATCGTGGCGAGCGTTGCCGCCACAATCTACCGCTGAAGGAAGCACTATAGCTCCAAACAAAACGCGGGGTCTGTCTATCAAGTCCGGATGACGTCTCCAGCACTTCGCTGGCTCCAAGCGTGATGTGCAATTTAAAGAAACCATTTAAGAAAATTCGACAAGGGGACAAGAGGACATATAGAGCGGGTGTAATTCGGGGCTATCAATTTGTTCTTTTGTTAGCATTTGAAGGCTGTGTTTTGCTAATGCCTTGTTTCCTGTTCTGGGTTCGGTCGGTTGTCCCCAAGTTTAAGATCGGTTCATCTTTGCCTTGGAGTTTGATGATCTTTAGTTCAGTAGATTGCTTGAACGAATTAATTTTTCAAAGCTTGTAAAGTGTATTTGACATATTGAGTACAAGATGATAGGACATGTAATTAAAAGTGAGTAGCAAATACTCCACACTAAATTTAGTTATAAGATGCCAAAATACTACCAAAATATTTGAAATACAGTATCTTGAGCAAAGTATTTAAGATAGGCAAAAGCCTGTTCGTACGTCTCATCATGTCACGCGATGTCGATTTATTACGCTAAATGTAGCCGGAAAACTGAATTGCTGTATACGTCACGCAACGTGAATTTCCCCGCTAAATTTAGCCGGAAGCAGAATTTGCATAAGTATCACGTGACGTCGTGGCGAAGTCAGTTTACTCGTTAAATTTAGCGGGGCAGCTAGAGAAGTGTCTAGGTCCCATGAAATTCATTTTTCGAGCTAAATTTAGCAGGGAAACTGAACTGACCTATAAGTAACGTGACGTCGACTTCCCGATTGGGTTCATACAGATTTTCAAGAAATACTTGACCCCAAGAACAAGAAAACCTTTGTTTGAGTTCACTCACTGGTCTTTAGGTTAGCCTCTCTCCGGAGTCCCCGCTTACACTAAACGAGTGGAATGTTGATATCGAAAGGCGCAGCGTGCGTAGGGGCAATTTCAAACACGGGTGACGGCTAAATTCTCATCTTTTCCTGGTGTGTTTCGTATTTCATGATGTATGCATTTTCAGGAGGGAATTAGAAAAGCAATGTATCACATAAAAAAAACTGTAAACTGTCCGCGGGCGACAGAAAACATGCAATTTGATTTGTTTTTTTTGTTTTTTTTGTTTTTTTTTTACAATGAGTTTTGACGGTGCCGTGCTCAGGCGAGTAAATCGAGAAAGTGCATTACTGTCGAAAATAATTGACAGCAGAAGATAGCCGGAAGGCATGCATATTTCATGCGCACTAATACCGTGATTACCGTTCTAAAGAACAGGACTCGGACATGCAATTTAGCAGGTGTGAACTTTCGAACAATATTGTACGTACCGCACTGTCCAACGTTAACTGAAAATGATTTATTTGAGAAAGATCCAAAATAATACAGCACAACAGTGTCGAGGACACCGACATATCTACTGTAAAACGGAGTTCAAAATGACCGTGTTTTGGGGCACATTTTGGGGAGAGCTTACTTTTTTCACAACTGCATCACCAGGGTAAAGAAACAGACACGCCTGGATCGTTCCTCACCCAACAAGAACAGCTATTTTTCGCGATGACTGAGAAGGACTCTACCGGGATTATTTCTAAGAGTGGGCAGAACAGTTGTCATTCTTCTCAAAATCACGTCTATAGCCGTTCGACGTTCTTGCTTTCCTTCGTTGTTTTGTGAATGTCAAGCAAAAACGTTCGAATGGCATGCTCTCACAGTGAAAAATAACTAAAAAAAAAAATCAAGCAGCTTGCACACACACACACACAAAAAAAAAACTTTTAAGAGAGGCTGGATAACGTCGAATGCAAAGCTGCAAATCATAGGTGAAGAATCGCGCTGAGCAGGTTTCAACAGTCCATAAGACTTGGATAAAATGTTAAGCTGATAGGTGGCGCGAGAGTCGCACCAGCTGCATCATCATCAGCAACATGGTAGCGGACTAGGAGCGTTTCTTGGAAAGCTGTATAGATAACCCGACGTTAGGTCACGTGACGTCAATTTTCCCCGTTATGTTCAGCGGAAAGTTCCCGGGCGGACTGGTGAACGGACAGAATTTTGAAATTTGAGGGTGGGGGGCCGGGGATTCTGTTAGAAAGAATCTCATGCTTTAAAACGCGCTCTGCGCCGTGACAATGAGCAAACGTAAAGTAACGTTCGTTGTGTCTGCTTAGACTCTGTGTTCTAAAAAACACCTTTTGAACCTCGTTGTCAGTTCGATACTCTCCATAAAGACTAGAACACGCATGTTCGAAAAACCTAACAAAAATCGCAAGATATTCGGAACATACAAAATAGCTCCACACAATGCTTCGGAAAGTCATGCGTGTGTATTTATCATTCACATGCTTTCAAAGAAACCATACGTGCGTGAAATTTACGTGCAGTATGTGCCTATGTTAAAAATATGCACGGAGGACGTTTCCCATACTCCATATTTCGTGCGCCGTTCGGTTGGCTTTCGCGCATGTGTTCCAGCTTTAGATCAGAGTGATTACGTGTGTTACACAGGAAATGAGGCGCGTGGTGCTTTTTGTCTCTACCAGTTTCTAGTACATTCGTGATCTATTTGGATAACATATTAAGGCGAATTCTTGAAGAGACACCCAACCAATGTGCAGGGGGGTTTGTAATATATTGGCAATCTTACGCGAATCGAAGCCACGACGGCGCTGTCTGCCGGAACGATTGGCTTTGTATGGGGCCTAAGGGACAGATCCCTCATGCTGTCGATGCGATTGGCCTCGTTCCTGATCATTAGCACTGCCTTCATCTGACCCGCGAACGTCGTGGTCAGGATGATCACCACCAGCCAGAAGGCGGCCACGACGATCCGAGCAGAGCTCAGCATTGGAGTGGATGGGGACGCTGGTGTAATAAAAAAAAAGAACAGTAAATGAACGAACGTAGTGTCGCAGCTTAATTCCACATAGCGTAAACAAGAGGAGCGTGTGCGTTATAAAGTGCACAGTTCAGGACGCTGTATGACAACTGTGAGGTCATTGGTATCTGCAGAATCGCCATTTAACAATTTACTTCTTTTCTTTCCTATCCTCTGGAGCTGCAGTCTCAACGACTGAGGCATGAAAACGACAAGTTTGGTCCGTCAACACGTCTGCATTAACGAGTGAGCAATGCCAAATATCGTTAGTTGATGACTTTGTAAGGTAATGTCTGTGAGCGTGTGCTCTAGTTAAAAAAAGACAACAAAACAGACATTGAATAGGTATGTTTTAGTGCTCTTATAGGTTTGATAATTGTGCACGGATGTTAAAATATAAAGTATCGGCGTAATGTGATTTACCTTCTAGGAATGTGGTCATGATGAATGTCCTCAGATGATTGAAGAATGCCGGGAAACAAGGAAAGCCGGCGGATGATCCTCGTCTTAGGCGAAAGTGGACCTTGTCGCTGATCGTCCACGTGATGGCCGACAAGATTGTACCACAGAAAAAGCAGACCCACACCTGCATCGAAGGTAAGAAAAGGCTTCGTAAAAACTTGTAAAAATGTATCGATTGATAGGCGTATAAATTGATTTAAGTACGAAAGACGAAAGAACAAAAAACCTGAACGTCGGTTTTAGTTGGCTAATTTATGATGGGGATGGGAAGAGAAAAAAAAACAGCGGGGAAATTAAATATTTTATAAACATAATTGGGAATGATGACGTTAATGTGGTACTATGATACACAGACTGAAGGACGAGCCCATCATCGCAAGGAACACTGCAAAAGCCTTTACAAAGACAGCTGTTTCCCAAGGACTGAGTACTTTAAAAAAAAGACTAGATTGACCTCAGTTCATCCACAATAATTTTGGATGCAACAACAATCACTCCTCATCAAACCTTTCGCGTTAGTACACGAAAAACTAAATTGCCCCTTTCACTTCCCAGCTGGCATAGTAGCTGGAGACTTTCCTATACCAGTTCTACACTGGAGGTGGAATATATAGACTACATTTAGTCATATATGCAACTGAAGAGCCGCCTCTAGCGGTCCCAAGTCCAGATGAAACGCAAAATGTGTCTTGAGGGCTGAAGATATACAGTAAAAGATGCTGACATTTCGTGTTTTTTCACTGTAGTACTGCGAGATTGGTTGTTTTATGATGAATAAACCAGCATTTGCAGAAATTCCTTGTAAAATAAAAACATTTATTTGACATTGCTTTTGACCTCGCCTAGCTATCTGCGGTCTTACTCATATTTTGAGCGACAGAACAGTGACCTGGTATCTACAGAATAGCTTTGTGATCATTCTATTGTGGATATTTGTGGGAGAAGCGGCATTGCCAGTAAGCCACTTTGTCTTACGCATTGTTTTATTAAAAACCGTATGTTTTGCGGTGAACGCACTAAATTATTGGAAACTTTTAGCAAACCGTTACCGTGTTCCGGGTACCGCACTACCGGAGCCTTTGAAGCGTTCTTTTAAGCGCGTGCCCCGCGGTATCTTTATCAGCCGGGCGCATGCTTAAAGCATGCTTCAAAGGCTTCGGTAGTGTGGTACGTGGAACACAGTAACGGTTTGCTAAAAGTTCTGTTAAATAGACCAACTCCTGTGCTACGGTAAATCACCGTGACATAATCTATCCTATTCTCGTGCGGCCGCTAAGTTAGATGCAATAGGTGTCGTTTTTTGTTGTCTTTATACTGATGGACTGACTGGGTTGTTTTCACAACACCGTTTCCATCTTGTACAAGAGGAGGAGACCTTCATGTAATAAATATGTATTCTACACCCATTAGTTAACCTTCATGCCAGTTGTCTGAAGACGGGAAACGAAGCCTAGACATTGTTATGGATATCGTCAACATACAACGTTATAGCTTGAATAAAGGATGTTTTACTTTTCATAAGATAGTTGGAATTTCGGAAAGCTCCAAGCGCGTGTAATCTGAAGAGAGACGCTGACCCATGTGAAGAATAATATTTGGCATATACATCAATATTCTTTAACAAATGTTTGCCTAGAGGGTGTTTTGTGAAACCTCATAAGTCTTAAAGTCTGGCGCTACATACTGTGAGAGAACAATTTATGTCAGAGCAGTGCGGCCGTACCATGAAGTGTTTATACGGTACCGAATCTCTTAGTTTGAAAATTTAACATATAAGTATTACTAAACAGGGACATAATCTGTCAGGCCAAAACCACTATACTAACAGGCTTCAACAATATGTTTCATAACGCCGCGTCAGAATTAAAATTATCGTGGCGCATGCCATCTCATTTCGTTCTACAGCTGTTATCGCTTTCATTGTAAATTGTTTTCGAACCGATATCTTAACAAACTGTTTTTATAACATGGTACATTTATTTTGTATGGCATTTCTCCACCCTCGTGAAGTGGACGGTTGCCCCAGTATGAGGTTTACTATTCTTTAAAGGGTAACTGCAAAGAAAAAAAAGTTTTTTTTTAAATAGCCTAATTGGGACAAGCATGTCAAAAAACAATTTTTCCGCGAGAAAAAATATTTTTAACAGCAATATTTATTGCGTGAGACTCGTTTTAGTTTGCGGCTATTTCGTCTGTTTTAAATCGCGCGCCACGAAGTTGTGATTATGTGACGTCAATCCCAAAAGGTTCTCATTGGCTAAGAGTTTGATTGACAGCTTAGGTCTTGGTTGTTAAACCTTTGTTATATGTTGCAATTTCCTTTTGAGCGGCATATTTTTACGTTTAAAGAATAACCCATGTGATGAGAGTTATTATTCTTTACAAAAGGTTTACAAGACGGGCACTTCCGTTTGGATTCATACAAACAAAAGCTTCGCCATTCTTTCATGGCCGCCGAAGTCTGCTCCCGCCTGTCTCGCCTACCTCGACTAATCGTTTCGCCGAAGTGATCAGTGTTTCGTCGTTTCGTGCTGACCCAGGTGCTTGAGTGAGACTTCTTGAAGTGAAGTAGTGTGTGTTTAGCAGCTGTCGCAGGTGTTAGTGATAGGAAGCGACGCGGGGTTTTGGCATTCATAGCGCGGTTCTTGCGTTTTCCTCTTTGCTTGCTTAGCGTGCTTTTTTTTTTTTTTTTTTTGCTTGTTTGTGCGTGCAAATGCTGACTTTTCGGAGATGTCAGATGCGTGATCCCGACAGTGAGCCTTCCAGCAGCCATGTCGCCCCGAAAGGAATGCTATTTGGCTGGAGGCAACCGGGCGTTCGCGTAGCGACCAACGTGTCTAGTTCTCGTCATATCGCTCTGGAGGCCGTCGAGATTCGCCCCGTGTGCACCTAACGTCCGCGACTAGACAGAAAATAAAAAAAGCACTATGTCCACTACATAAAAATGGTCTCAGTTCATGCATCTGTAGGCAGGTACGAAATCGTGCCCAAATTTATTCACACCGCAAGATGCAACACGTCGCTGTGCAAACGCAGTCCAACACGAAGCATAAAAACGGCAGATTTAGGACAACAATGCGGAGTCCATTGTTCAATTAAAACGACGTAATTTTGTGAAAACGCCCGCAGCTTTTTACTCACGGTATGCGTCGGGAAACTTCCACATTTTGAAACAGAACGAGGCAGATTTACTTTTAAAAACGCTCCCAGCGTCCTCCCGGACCAATTTGACTGGATCAGCTGACGACGACGGGACTTAACTGGTTGAACGTCAACCCCACAACAACCAATTTGCGCTCCGTGTTAGCACCGCATTACACACACCACAAACGTTTCAGCTCTCGCATCGCCGTGTTGCACCAAACAGAACGAGATCGCCGAAACCAACGCAGCGCTGTCGTGAACCTTGGCTCGTGGTTGCGCACTCGTGGATTCTGTGACTCCCTTCGCTTTCAAAGCGCGCACGACGATTACGAACGATACTTTCCATCTTCCGGGAACATCACAGGGGCACTTCTCCGGTCACGTCTTCGCTACATGTGTTCGCAAACCGCGTCAAACCAAAAAAATACCGCGGCCTGGCGTGGTTGCCAGATCTTGCCGGAAGTCGAGACGCTGCGTCGTTCAACTCCGCAACGCAAGGAGAGTGAGGGGCGGGGCGTACTCCTCTTCCGCGGGGGTCGAAAGAGCGGGAGTTTCAAATGTGGAGAAATTCTGACTCTACTAAATTACGTCCTGTGGCGTAAATATTGATAAAAAAAATAATTTTTTTCGCGGAACATTTGTTTTGTGACATGCTTGTCCCAATTAGGCTGTTTAAAAAAAAACTTTTTTTTCTTTGCAGTTACCCTTTAAGGCACACAAATCTTTGGGAAGAACACACGATGTGCCTTATGTTACTTTGAACTTTAACAATCATGTTGTAAGACTTTGGCTTTTAAATGAACTGATGTGCTCATAACGGACATACTCACTTGCCACGTGAATATCTGTATGATTCCGATGATGTTGCTTTGATAGCGGGACAGACGTCCTGCGAGAATAACCAGTTCGATGGGAACGATGGTTTCTGTTTCCACAGCCACGTCCTTCTTTTCATCTGTGGGGTTCACCACGACCAAGGCTACGTCCGCCTCCTGCAAATGGCGTGGGCATGGAGCCTCGTTTCTTAGTCATTCATTTGCTGTTTTAAAGCAGCCGTTACCAAAATAGTGAATTGTCAACAATTACAATCTTGACCAAGCTGTACAGGAATAGAAAGCAGTACGGTGGTGAGATGGGCGAATTGGTGATGCATTGTAAAAGGGTAAAACAGCGCAAAAAGGCACGGACAGGAAGAAGTACACAAACGGAACGCAGCGCTCCGTTTGTGTACTTCTTCCTGTCCGTTTCATTTTGCGCTGTTTTACCCTTTCAGTATAGAAAGCAGTATTGCTTAGCACCAAAAATAATTTAAAGATCCCTGCAGTAAGATGAAACGAATAATTTTGGGGGACCATGGATATTATGTTTGGCACAATGAGATAATCTGTGAAAAATAATAGTCGAAAACTTTTTTGAACTAAAGGAAGATTTATAACATAATTAAAATGACGAAAAAAAGTAATACATTTTTATGATGTAATGTGTGTCGTAAAGCTCAGTCATTCAAACAGGCATAGCCTACTCTATTCTGGTAAAGCTTGGCAGATCGCCATGAGAAGCGGCCGCCGAAATTGAAAAGGCAGAGTGGCAGACAACGGATAAGAGGAGAGCTACGTGACGGGCGCCCGGCTGCGGCGAGAAGCCGAAACACACTTCTCCCAAGCGATGGAATATCCGCTCGTGCTCCTCGCGTTCCCAGCACTTTCGTTTCTTTTCTCCTCGGGTTTTAAAACCATGTTTTGGGGTCCTCGCCGCTGCAAAAGCTGTGCCCTGACGTCCAGGTTCCCCCAGAAATGCTGTGTGCTACCAGATCCTCGCGCTCCAAATCTGCGACCGGGCAGTCTATGGCTCCGTCGTCGAACAGCCGGGCTTTGTGAGCATAGAGGAGGCTAAGATACAAGGCTAGGATTGTCATAGGACGTGAACTCTTGCAGTTTAGGCGTTTTCTGCCTGCCATACAGTCAAATTTAGGATTTGGACGTTCATATAGCTGGATAAAGTTATAGCTGCTCTGCACGACAGCCTGATGAACAGAACTCCTTTAGCTAAAATTACCAGGTTGCTGTTAATGACGGGCAGGGGCGGGAACGATTCTAGGAATAATCCCTGGATTCTCCAGCGCGAGGTTTCGCTCCTCGTACTCAGACTCGCGGCATGGTATACGATGTGCTAACACACTTGCCCAAAAGTGATAAAACAAGAAAGTAAAATGAAGACGGGAAAATTCGGAACTTCGCATGCCAACAGTGTAGGCACAAATATCCTTACGCACCCAGTCATGAGATGGCATCGCCAGTGAAGATGATGTCACATATAAATTAAACACAAGTGGAAAGTCACGTTCCGAGTATAAAATAACAAGTAGAAATCAACAAATTTTCGATGACTTGAGAATTGGTGCAGTTGAAAGTCTTCATACAAATACAAACGGTTTGTAGTGCGCAAACAATTTGAGCATTAGTTTTTGTCTTGCAACCCAAAAAATCTAAACACAAAATGTGGTTTTTGCTTGAAAAGCTTACCCAACTACATAATAATTTTATATTTCCTTTCACTGGATAAGCCGCATAAAAAAAAAAAAGAAATTGGTAAACACTTACGCATCCCGTAAAGCGAAACACAGCGACAGCTGAGGTGTAACGTCGGAGCCGCTAAGGTATCATTTCAGAGCAGATGGACTGAATAAACAGTAAAGGTGCGAGAGTGCACCATGGAGTCCGCATAGACGTTGTGTATTAAATCGAGTAGCACAGCGGACGAACATTCCACAGCGTTTTGGAACCGATGTGGGTGTATTTGGTGAAGAACATTTCGTGAACCCGTTGAACAATTCTATTGGACACATAATGGGACTGCCTTGTGGTGATTGAAGAACGCTTTGAAAATCGCGCGCCCAAGTTTGAATTCCAAGAAACAACGACACTGCCTATGGACGGATGAACCGTTAGTTCTCTGTCGTTGGTTTGGCTGCCTGAACGTCTTAAGCAATGTAATTGGACACAAATTAGCTGCGCCTTTTGGTCACTGAAGAACACTTCCAAAATCGCGTACTTTAGTTTCAAGCGTTGTAGCTCCACCTAATTTCACGCCCGTGGTTTTGCCGGCTTAACACCCACTTGGTTTTATTACTTTTATTGCCCGAGAACCTTTCTGGGATAATTAGCGAGAACGCTTTGTTTTTATCGTTTCCATTATCAGCAGTCTCATATTTATGTATTTACGGGCGTCATGGTGTGACGTGGCGACTTACTGTCACGTGGCGTCCTAATGTCATTTCACGTCATCATATCACGTGACTTGATCACGGTGTCACCTAATGTCATTAGGTCGCGTGGCATCACTGTGCAACGTGACTTGATATGACCATGTCACGTCATGGTATCAGCTGACGCCAGATAACACGTGACGTGATGCACGGCGTGACATCAGAGTCATGCCGAGAGGGGTGACGTCTATGTGGAATGTTTTGACGGAGTGCCGAAATCGGCATCGCGTCGATATGGAGCACGGTCGACGGCGCGAAACCCGCGAAGTGTCCCACTAACAGCCAACGCTGTGAAAAAAATAATGTCTTGGCGACTGTAATATATTGTCATAACCTTTTGCTCGATGACCTACATTGAGTATCCAAACGTTAAAAGGAAATGTTAATCAAGACTGTAATCTATCCATTCCTTGGCATCTGCCAACACGCGGCTAGAAAAGAATCCTCATTATACAATCAGCAATGGACGAGAAATTGCGCAATAAACAAAACTAACGCTTGGGGACGGCTGGAAAGTAAACAGAGTATTTTCACTCTCCTGCTGTCACAAGGAAAATTGAAAAGAAGAAGATGGGGAGTAAGAACAGTAAATACGGCCATTCAACCTTTGACAAGAATCAAGAAAGACTCACATCATGCTGCAGCATTCCCATGACTCCGGTCCAGTTTCCATCGAATTTTCTTAATCCCCAGAAGGAATCCATTGGAAAGGTGACGCTATAGCTGACACGGAAACAACTTTCAATAAGACATCCCTACTACGTACACCTTTTGATCGATGTACTTTTCATTTGGTTGACGATATTTAATGTATGCTCGCAGTTGTTTTCAGTCAGTTACTTCTTGTGTCCGATATCACGGAAGCTTTTAGAACAACAGTTTGCAGGAATTTCGTAAGAGCCTCCTTGCCGTCAATGGATTACATGACACATTTGCATTTACATAAGGCCGACCCTCAACATACATAGTAAATGACCTTTTCCAATTGCGTGCAAGGGCAATCTTACAGAAATACAATAAATTAATGATATTAATTTTTTATCCACCATTTTATTTTTACTACCATGATCCAAAATTCACCATTATTGAAATGTATGATTCCAGAGTTTATTTTTGTGTACAAAATATCCTGACGTTGCAGAAAATCATAAACGGCCGTTACAGGCTTAGAAGGCAGAGCTAGGCTTTCGCCGGCAATCGCGGTGTACAAGCGCGTTCACTATAAAATCTACCCGAACTGACGATTGCTAAAAATGGGGAATTCGGTTTCGCTCCACCAGAAAGGTTGAGTTCTACGCATATCATGACAATCTTGTTGAATTGGTACATGGTACTGGAAATATAATGAAGCGTATAATATAACTAAACTAAATTAATATAACCATAAATGAAGGTAATGCCCGTAGCAAAATTTTCTTAATACATATACATGACGATGATGTTGTTGGTGTTGAAAGTGAAGACGGGAATAAATACTTTTGGCCACTCCTAAAGTGATACATTCAATATAGAATTGGCGAAGCTAGTTTTAACGGAATTATGAGTCTTACTTTGTTTTCAAGGATTGAGCAATCGTGCTCATGATTTCGCCGCTGACTCCGTGGACGGGAACGTTGAAACCTTCTCCTGTGGTGATCTGGTACGGCGGATACTGCACACAGATGCGTCACTTTAGGTCATTACTTGGGAATATAGCGTAGGGTGCGCACCTACTTAAAAGTGAAGTAAAACGGCTTAGTAAAACGGCTTAGTAGACGTCAAATATGCAGCTTTTTATCAAAAGGTGTGAGACGCGAAAGCGAAGCATATAAACATATGAACTCCCGCTCGTCCCCAAACCGTACAAGCGTGCTTTGCGTGCCCTAGTCAGTAGCCCTGGCTCGTAAGCGAAGAGTCGTGGGTTTGAATCCGGCCTGAAATGTTTCATATATTTTTCTAAGGCAATTGAATTACTTTCTAAAGTAAAATCGTTTGAGGCATGCGCTTGCACCTTTGCATTTAATTGCAGTATAATCATAACCTTAAAATTGAAACTTGCAATTTTAAGGTTATGATTATGCTGCAATTAAATGCAAAGGTGCAAGCGAGCTGGAAAAGAATGATGAAAGTAATCCCCAAAGAAGGGGAACAAGAGGGACAAAGGAGGAACTCAAATCTCTAAACACAGCTAGGTGACTGGTGCGCGACCGACAAAATCCGCCTGGTCCGGGTATCGAACCCGGGACTTTTCCATTACAGGTGGAGCGCTCTACCAACTGAGCTGTTAGACGTCAGTAGAGCAAACGGATTTTATCGGCTGCCACCAGTCCAACACCAACAAGGATGAAACTTGCAATTTTAAGGTTATGATTATACTGCAATTAAATGCAAATGTGCAAGCGAGCTGGACAAGAATGGTCTCCTTCTCCAGGGATTATTTTCGTCATTCTTGTCCAGCTCGCTTGCACCTTTGAATTTAAATGCAGTATAATCATAACCTTAAAATTGCAAGTTTCACCCTTATTTGTGTTAGAGTGGTGGCAGCTGATAAAACCCGTTTGCTCTATTGACGTCTAACCCCTGGTTAGCTCAGTTAATGGGCAAACCTATTTGATGATATGATGAGAATGAAAGAATTTTAATTGCACGGCTGCCTACAAGTGCTGGGTAGTCGTTTTTATTGTTTTTAAAACGCTGAATAAAAAAAAAAACTGGTTAGCTCAGTTGGTAGAACGCTCCACCTGTAATGGAGAGGTCCCGGGTTCGATACCCGGACCATTCGGATTTTTTCGGTCGCGCACCAGTCACCTAGCTGTGTTTGGAGATTTGAGTTTGTCCTCTGTCCCTCTTCTTTAGGGATTACCTTCATTCTTTTCCAGCTCGCTTGCGCCTTTGCATTTAATTGCAGTATAATCATAACCATTATATTGCAAGTTTCAATTTTAAGGTTATGATAATACTGCAATTAAATGCAAAGGTGCCAGCGAGCTGGACAAGAATGTTCCCCTTCTCCAGGGATTATTTTCGTCATTCTTGTCCAGCTCGCTTGCACCTTTGCATTTAATTGCAGTAACATCATAACCTTAAAATTGCAAGTTTCACCCTTGTGGCTGTTAGACTGGTGGCAGCTGATAAAACCCGTTTGCTCTACTGACGTCTAACCCTTGGTTGGCTCAGTTGGTAGAGCGCTCCACCTCTACTGGAGAGGTCCCGGGTTCGATACCCGGACCAGGCGGATTTTTTCGGTCGCGCACCAGTCACCTAGCTGTGTTTGGAGATTTGTGTTTGTCTTTTGTCTCTCTTGTTCCCCTTCTCCAGGGATTATTTTCGACATGTGATGAGTGCCGTACAGGTCTGCCCCTATGAAGCCGATGTCGCTGAGAGGAGGACGGGCTACTAGGGAGTTTTCGTAGATCGTTTCTCTCTGCTGTCCCGTAACGCTGTCCACAACCCGCTACGCGATCCGGAACTCTGCAGACGATGGTAGCGGCGCGCATGCGCAGTAACGGCGTCTGCGTTGCTGAGAGCGCAGCGGAAGGGAAAGCACGGTCTACGAAAACTAGAAATTTTCCTGACAGCAATGGGAACTGAGGCAAACATGTGACGCTTCTGAACGTGTCAACTGTTACCGACCCTGTCATACATCACACACCGCAGTAATATTTGGTTCATTATATGTTCGATAAAAATACTGCGGAGTTGACAATATTGAACATCGGAGTTCTAGTATACACCTCTTTTTATTATGAGGATCACGAAACAAGAAAGACACGTGCAACCATCTGGAGGCGCGTATAAAGCTACGATGCCCTGGGACACCGTACTTTCCCTCTATTGTTTTATTCATATTTGTTTTTGTGTTATTTTTTTAAAGGGCGACGTGGTGCATTCTGTTGATTGGCTATAAAAGACAAATAAGCGCTTTTGGTTTTAATAAAACAAACCACGACTAATTATGCCATATTACTTCAGAAATGAATGCCGGATTCAAGAGTCCTCGGCCTTAATACGAATACGGGTTTGCGCTATCGGAGCAACGCGCATGGCATTCAATGTAATATCATCCACTGCTATTTCGATTATACCAATTATTTAGACGTGCATTAATTCTAGCACAGAACTTTTAAGGTGTTTTGCCAAAAGACTCTTAACAATAGAGCAGATAGCGCGAGCAATTAGTCTATTTCTTACGCTAGGGGCAGCCATTGTAATAAATAATTCCCTAAATTATGTATTTATTACTAAGATTGAGTTCATATAAAAGCAACGAAAATACTTACATTGAATGTAGTCACTCTCAATGTGCTTCCGTCCGCCATGACTCTTATTGGCGGTTCTATGGAGTTTTAAAAAAAAATCTCGAAGTTTCTTTAGTGGCACCGATTGTTCAGGTGTTGCTGGTACGAAGAATGCACAAAAAGTCACGCAAACAACCACGTCCGCTATCAATGAGCTATGAAATAATAATAAAGAATAGTCCTATTGTTCTTTTTGTGCTCAGAAAGAAATTGTGCCTACTCGATACCGGTACAATAGCCGCGACCTTGTGACCGACTGATAACATCCTCTCATATAAACTCTCGGTGCTTGCAACTTAATTATGAATTCGCGGGTTCGTATGCGGTTCCTAATTCGTTATTTTATTCGCATCGCAAAACTGACCCCGAGGGCTCAGTAATCATTCCTTCTTTTTTATGCCCTCATTAGATCGCGAAGATTGAGATATTTCGAGTCATAATCCGCATCAAACAAAAAGAAAAAAAAAGAAAAGCACACAATGTAGAGGCTTGCAAAAACACAGTCCTATGATCATACTGTTCGAGAGTTAAAATATTTACATTATTTATACGTACATGATTGCATCTTAGTATCTACTCATTCCGTCGCATTCATAATTTTCTCCGTGAAGTCTCGTTGGTGATTTCATCTTGGGCACTATGACATGCGCTTGCGGCGGTTTCTTGCGCCGGCACCATGAAACTACGAGAAAGAACATGAACAAAAATCATTGTTTTGGAACAAACAGTTTTCTATCTCCCCCCCCCCCCCCGCGCCCTTTCCCCCGCTTTTTCAAGTTGTTTTGTTTCTTATTCCTCTACTTTTACGTGTTAGATTTGCATAATATAAGCGGGTATTTGTTCCCCAACAGTGTAAAGAATACGGGTCAAGCTACCCTACAATTTGCTCAAGCATTTATCCATCTGCTTTTACGTTCTCATCAGTTTTATAAGTTAAGAGCCATCTTGAAAATCAGATTATTTTTAACTGCCTTTTGAGTAACTTTTATGAGCTCCGTGTATTGATATAAATATAAGTTACACATTTATTTCTCTCTCTATATATATAAAAGCAAAACTGTAAGAAGTTTTTTTTTGTTGTTGTTTTTTTTTTGTTTCTAGTCAAGCCATGCGCATATCCGAGTACCAAAAGTGTAAAAGAATAATCAACATTGTGAATCACTCGTACGATAAGAGTCAAACGAAAATTCGCCCTCACCGCCGTCCCCAATAAATTTCTTTTTTTTTTACTTTTTTTTTTGGAGAGAGGGGTGGGGTCGGCCATCGGCTACACCAGAGTGGTTATATAAAATGTAGACTAAAATACACTTCCCTCAAGATAATCCTCTCGAACATTTACAAATTCATTTCTCAATTTGCTCTTTAGTGAAAGAGTTGGGTGACTGAAAAACAGTCGGGAAAACGTTGTTAGGTCCTAGTTTTTTTGCGTCGAGTTTACATTGCACCTTTTAACCGTTACACCCTCTTACTCAAAAGCGAAGAAGCGGCATTTTTTGTTTAGTCGACCGTGTCGCAACCTCCGTTTCCGCTGCTTCGGTTGAATCAGTAAAAAACATCGAATGAATCGGCTCAATCTAGAGAGGGTGGAGTGCCGCCACTTCTTTTCAACGTAACAGCTCGATCAAACGCAGAGCCTGAGCGTCACGACGTTCTGGGAGACAATGGCCATGGATGTGCTCGGAAATTTTCTCGAGTTGTATTGCGTAAGGCCGCGGTCAGACGGCTAATGCGTCATAGGAAAGAGGGTCTGCGGACACTGACTGACGAGTTTCCCTGCCTCGTATGACGTCCCTCTCTCACCGGTCATAAAATATTTGCAGACATGTTCGAAGTGTACATACATGTGTCCGGCAAACATGGTTCGAATATGCTCGAAGCCCATCCGCAGATATTTCTGCAATCACGTATGCAGCGAACAAAGTGTCTTTTGTATCATGTATAAGCGGTGTTACTGCGGCTTTCGAGCGCAGCTCGATTATGTCCGGTGCCTATAACGAGTCTCCGACCGACGTCTGTATCGCGTCCACGTCCTCATTTGTGGTCCGTCAATTTTCGCCTCATGACGTCATAGAGGTGTCATGCTCTATCTTTTCTGCGATCCTGGCAATACACCTCCGCAACGGCGGAGGTGTACGAGGAAAGACGCCTCTCCCGCTGTGTGTCGCTCTTCAAATTTACAGCTCACGGAAACTCCAGCAGCCAGAGGAGGGGACGTCGCGACCATAGAGTTATTATAATGTACGCTAGAGGTTCAAGTGGCGCTAGTGTGCTGACGCAAATTGAAGCAGACAGCAACCTGTCGAAAATTGACTTCCGGTAATGCATTTCTATGGGAAAAAGTGAGTGCATTTTCTCCCTGCGCTCGATTATAAGA